CACACTTACAAACTTATTAAAAAATTATAGTCTAGAGATAGCAATAGATAAAGTACAATTAAATTTTCCAATTAATTATTTAGGAGTTCTATTATCCTCAACCATGGTCCGTCCACCAAAAATTCAAATACGAGTAGATCAACTCAAATCACTTAATGACTTTCAAAAGTTATTAGGAGACATAAATTGGATAAGGCCTTATTTAGGTATACCAACAGGAGAGTTGGGACCTTTATTTGATATCCTAAAAGGTCCATCAGATCCAAATTCACCCCGAATGTTAACGCCTGAAGCAAGAAAGGCATTAAAAATCATTGAAACATATATGGAAAATATGCATTTGGATAGAATTGATATAAGTTTGCCTTTATTATTTATTGTACTACCAACAAAAAATATTCCTACAGGAGTATTTTGGCAAGAAGGTCCATTATTATGGATACATTTATCTTATTCTCCTAACACTATTCTTACTAGGTATCCTGAGGCTGTAGGACAATTAATACTCAAAGGAATAAAAGCAGCAAAGGGAGTGTTTGGAATTTCTCCCAATAAAATTATTACTCCATATACTATGAATCAAATTGATGAGTTAGCTAATGAGTTAAATACTTGGGCAATAATCATGTGCAAATCTAATGTTTCATTTGATAACCACTTACCATCTAATCCTTTATTGTCTTTTTGGTCATTGCATCCTGTAATTTTTCCAAAAATGACAAGAAAAACACCTATCATGAATGCTCCAAATATATTCACTGATGGGTCAAATAATGGTACAGCAGCAGTAGTTACCCCTGATCAAACTTTTACATTTTTAGTACCCAAACAATCAGCTCAAAAGGTAGAGCTTAATGCAGTTTTACAAGCTTTTGTGATGTTTAAAGATTCTGTATTTAATTTATTTTCTGATAGTCAGTATGTAGTTAATGCTATAGTATCTCTTGAAGATGCTGGTAGGATTTCCCCTTCTTCTACTGTTTTCTCTTTGCTTTCCACTATACAAAGTCTAATCTGGGACAGAAAAGATACATTCTTTATAGGACATATCAGGGCACATACAGGATTGCCTGGAGCCCTTAGTTTGGGCAATGATTTAGCAGATAAAACTACACATGACATACATATTTTTTCTACACTAGAAGAAGCTATAAATTTTCATAAAAAGTTCCATGTCAATGCTAATACTTTACAAAAGCGTTTTAAAATAACTAAGGAACAAGCTAGACAAATAATAAAACAATGTCAAAATTGTGTGACCTTTTTACCACAAGTTAATCTTGGAGTCAATCCTAGAGGATTGATACCTAACCATATTTGGCAGATGGACGTCACACACTTGCCAGAATTTGGAAAATTAAAATATTTGCATGTTACAGTTGATACTTCTTCTGGATTTTTGATGGGCTCCCTTCATGCAGGAGAAAAAACTAAAGATGTTATAGCTCATTGCTTACAAATTTTTGCCACTGTGGGTGTTCCAAAACAGTTAAAAACAGATAATGCCCCTGGTTATACTTCTACCTCTTTTAAACAATTTTGCTCAACATTTGGCATTACTCATATAACAGGAATCCCATACAATCCACAGGGACAAGGCATAGTTGAAAGAGCTCATCAAACTATTAAAATGTACTTATTAAAGCAAAAAGAAGGAATTGGGAAGGGGTATATATTCCCCAAAGATAAACTTAAAATAACCCTTTTTACTCTAAACTTTTTAAATTTGGATTCATCAGGACTTAGTGCTGCGGAAAGGCATATGTGTCCAAAAAATGTACATAAGCCCAAGGTACTTTGGAAGGATATTCTAACAGGACAATGGAAAGGTCCTGACCCAGTAATTGTCTGGAGTCGGGGGTCTGTTTGTGTGTTTCCACAGGGAGAACAGCAGCCGATTTGGATTCCAGAGAGATTAACCAAGGTCCTGACCCAGTGATTGTCTGGAGTCGGGGGTCTGTTTATGTGTTTCCACAGGGAGAACAGCAGCCGATTTGGATTCCAGAAAGATTAACTAAAGCGATTTCTACAGACCAAAAAGAAGATGATTTGGCTCAAATCCATAACAACTGATATCCAAAACTCCAGTTTGGCTATTCTTACATCTGCAACAGAACCAGGATGCTTTTTTCAATATCTATTTTATTATTGCCCTTTGCCATATCATGAAGTTCTATTTTGTTTTTTGAGCTCATACAGACCTAGGTTAATGTTTTGCTGATCAGTTCTATTTTTTGACTATAGAGTTTTTAAACATTGCAATGGAGATTTCACCTGTAAAAAGTTATAAGGCCTTTACTATAATGTTATGTGTTGTATGTATTATATTATGTGTGCACACTTGTGTTTTGTGTTATATGTTTGAATGTACGTATGTCCATATATCATATATGATGAGCGCTCATGATAAAATGGATCCAAATATTTTTTTTTCACGTGATTTATATGGTTTAATTTAAATTGGGTAAACAACTGTTGAGGATTGTTTTAATATGTAAATAAAAAAGAAGGTTAACAGATCTGTTTGTTTACTTTCACCTTTCCTTTTCATTATATTTAATAATTCTCTTAAAGATAATGTAAATTGTTAAGAAAATTGTTTTCTTTTAGTGCCTTCTGTAATGTTACATAATTTTTTCTTTAGCCATTATTGCCAGAATTCCTATCTTCATCCCAGTGCCGGTGAAGACAATGTAAATTGTTAAGAAAATTGTTTTCTTTTAGTGCCTTCTGTAATGTTACATAATTTTTTCTTTAGCCATTATTGCCAGAATTCCTATCTTCATCCCAGTGCTGGTGAAGTCAAAGATAAAACCAATCTACAGCTTCTACAATAGCCATCACTGAACTGCTTGCAGAACTTGCCTGGACACATTGTGAGCTCACCTGTATGCATTGTGAACTATCTGTTGGTGCAGCGAATTGTGGTAGTGCTGGAGTATTTTTGCTGATGGTGTCACCGGTGGTACAATTTTTCAAAGGAGCCCTCAATTGGCTTAATGTCATGGCATTTTGCATCCTCCTCTACTAGTGATGGTCTAAAATTTGGGGGCCAACAGAGGTGAGGCAAAGAACCTCACCCCCCCACTGGTGCAAAGGCCTATCCACAAGTATGGCTGTATGCTGGACCGGTAGTCAGTGACGGGTATGATCCAATTGCAGTGGTACCAACCTAAGACAGGAGGCTGACGCCTAGAGGTCAGTTCATCCGATGACGGGTAAGGACCATATGTTGAATTGGACTGCCTAACAGACATGGTCCCTAAGCCACATGCTTGTTGTTTAAACAGAGAGGGGGAGATGTTGAGAGCCACAGCCAAAGGGGCCCCAGCAAACTTCCAGCTGCCAGCAAACTTCCAGCTGCTGGCTGATGATTGGCTCACAGCGGCCCCAGCAACATCTAGCTGATTGGCTCCTCGGCCCCAGCAACATCTAGCTGATTGGCTCCTCTGCGGTGATGCTCATTGGACTGTTTCCCTGCCCTTTCAGACCACGGAGCTGCTCATTGGGGGACTTTTTTGGCTCCGACCCAGCCAATCGGCCTCAAGAGCAGGAGGATTGTGGGAGGTGGAGAGAAGCTGGTGGGGGAGAGAGAGGCTTGTGGGAAGCCGGTGGTGGCAGTTGAGGCTCTGAGGGTTTTTCCTGAGAGGCTGTTTTGTTTGGCGTGTGTGGTTCTAAAAATAAAGTTAGTTTCTTTTGACAAGTGGCTCCTGATTGTGCCCAGCCAGACTGCGGCATTCAGTTATGTTATATGCTGTTTCATGACCCCAAATGTATTCTCATTCTGCCCTTGTAGTTAACACTACCTTTCCCCATTCAACTCCTAGTAATTCACCCATGTGTTCTGTCTATAGTTTTCATCCTATAGTTTTCAGAATGTCATAGGAGTCGTCTGACTTTTTTCACTAAGCAAAACCTACTTGAGATCTGTCCAGTTTGTTGCATGTGTCAATAAGTCATTCTTTCTATTGCAGAATAGTATTCTGTGGTATGGATGCATTATGGTTTGTTTATCCATTCACTGGCTGAAAGAGATCTGTTTTTTTCTTTGGGCGGGTGGGGGGTACTAGGGATTAAACTCAAGGGCACTTGGCCACTGAGCCACATCCTCAGCCCTATTTTGTATTTTATTTAGAGACAGGGTCTCACTGAGATGCTTAGTGCCTTGCTCTTGCTGAGGCTGGCTTTGAACTCGAGATCTCCTGCTTCAGCCTCCTGAGCTGCTGGGATTACAGATGTGTACCACCGCCCAGCATGATTTTGAGAATTAGTGTCTTGCAGGGAATTTGTTCATTTTCCTACATGGTTAAATTTGTTGAACTCAACTTATTTCCTTATAATACCTTTAAGATCTGTGGTGACATGCCCTCTTCAATTGATATTGATACTTAGTGTTTCTCTTTCTCTCAACAAGCCTTACTAGGGGCTTATCAATGTTATTGTTTTTGAAAGCCAGATCTTAGCTTTGTTGTTTTTTTCTCTATTGTTTGTCCATTTTATATTCCATTGATTTTGCTCTTTATGAATTCACTCCTACTTTGGATTTAATTTGTACTTATTTTTCTAGCTTCTTAAAATAGAAGCTTATCCATTTTCATTTTCTTTTCTAATGTAAACATGCAATGTTTTAAGTTTCTTCTAAAGATTGCTTTAGCTGTACCTAACAAATTTTGATATGATCTATTTTCACTTTCATCCAGTCAAAACATTTCTTTCCTTTGTGCTTTGATCTTTTACTCAAGAATTATTTGGAATGGAGAGGTTTAATTTCCAGATATTTGGGGATTTGCTTTCTATCTTTTTTGTTACTAATTTCTTTTATTTTCTTTCTTTCTTTCTTTCTTTCTTTCTTTCTTTCCTTCCTTCCTTCACTGACAGTCTCACTGAATTGCTCAGTGCCTCACTTTTGCTGATGCTGGCTTTTTTTTTTTAATTTAATTTAATTTTTTGAGAGAGAGAGAGAGAGAGAGAATTTTTCAAAATGTTTATTTATTTTTTTTAGTTTTCGGCAGACACAACATCTTTGTTTGTATGTGGTGCTGAGGATCGAACCTGGGCTGCCCGCATGCCAGGTGAGCGCGCTACTGCTTGAGCCACATCCCCAGCCCTGATGCTGGCTTTGAACTTGAGATCCACCTGCCTCAGCTTCCAGAGCCACCTGGCTCTGAATATATTTTTTGCAGTACTACAAATCTAACTCAGGGCCTAACACATGCAAGGCAAGCTCTACCACTGAGCTACAGCTCCAATCCAAGATATAATTTAAATATGAAGAGAAAGGTAAAAGCAGAAAAAAGAATAGGGTTAGGGTTAGGGTTAGGGTTACAGACTCTGAGTTTTTTTTTTTTTTTTTTTTACAGATTTGTTGGAATTTGAGGAGGGGGAGATTGGGACAGGATGCAAGAACCTTGGGTAATGCAGATTCCTTCAGCTGAGGAGTGAGCCACCAGCATCGAGCACTACCAGTCACTGGGGCAATGAAAGCTTCAGTCCTAAAAACACATCAAAGTAACACACTGAGAGTCCACTAAATGAGATGAAACATGAATCCTAAGAACATTAATATGGTTGCATGAATATTAAGTAAAGTCAACTTTAAGATAAGGAGTAAGTAGGACAAATATAAAGAAGGACATTTCAAAATGATAGAAGTCAACTCATCAAGAAATCAGTGATCTCAAGTGCTTATTTACCCAATAACAGCTTCAACACATGAAAGAAAAAACTGATAGAACCAAAAGTAGAAGATTTAAAAGCTCCAAATATAGTCAGAGATTTTAACATAATCTCTTCCTGTACTTGAAAGAAGAAGTAGAAGAGAACTTCAGCAAGGGGCTGGGGTTACAGCTCATTGGATAAGTGTGGGAGACCAACCTTGCACATGAATGAATCAGACTCCCCGGCTGGGTGCTGAGGTGCTCAGTCACAGAAATGTGGCAGAGCTTTTCCCATCCTTCTTGGGTTCAAGGGTCTGTGTCTTGTGCATGGGTGTGTCTTGCTACAGCCCCATGGGTGAAGCTATGCTCACCTGTTTCTTTGTAATATAACCCCTTGCCCTGTTTAGGATAGAATCTTCCATGGAAGTGTCTTGTGTGTCCCCTTCTCTTACTGTGCCCTTGGGTGTGGCCTACCTACCCAGATGTCAGTCAACCTGCTGACAGTGGACATCGTGAAGCTAGACTCAGCCCCCTGAAACCTGACCCCTTGCCTCATTTGAAAAGCTTCTCCTTAATAAAAGGGGTCAGCACAGTGCTCTCTCTCTCTCTCTCTCTTCCTTCGGACCCTTAAGGTCAGAGGAGCCATCACAGCGACCCCAAAGAAAAGGTATTGGTGTCTCTTGTGTGGTTATTTTGCGCAGCCCAGTTAGCCCAGTTTTCCTGGAGTGACCCCTGAGCCTTTTAGTCGCGAACAGAAATCCAACAGTTAAGCATGTATGTGAAGACTTGGGTTTAATCTCCAGCATCCCCTTACCCCAAATCAGTAGGAATCTGGAGGATTTGGCATAGCCAATTATATTTATTCACTTTTTTGGAAAACATGCCCAACAACAGAATACACATTTTTTAATGAATTCACATAGAACATATACCATATGTTTGTTCATAATATATTTCAAAGGATTAATAGTATTCAGTATGTTCTCTGACCACAAAGGAATTGAATTAGAAATTAGTAACAAGCCAGGAGCAGTGGCACACACCTGTAATCCCAGCAGTTTGGGAGACTGAGGCAGGAGTATCATGAGTTCAAAGCCAGCATCAGCAATTTAGGGAGGCACTAAGTAACTCAGTGAGACCCTGTCTCTAAATAAAATACAAAATAGGGTGGGGATATGGCTCAATGGCCAAGTGCCCTTGAGTTCAATCCCTAGTACCCCAGCCAATATGTTGAAGTTGAACTGATTAATCAATTATATTTACATAATGAAGCCTCCATAGAAACCCAAAAAGACTGGCTTCAGGGAGCTACTGGATAGCTGAATGGATGTTCCTGGAGGGGGCTTCCCCAGAGAGGGCACTCTTTCCCATACACCTTGTCCTATGAATCTCTTCATCTGTATCTTTTATAATATACTGGTAAATATGAGTAAAGTATTTTCCTGAGTACTCTGTGCCACTCTAACAAATTCATTAAATCCTAGGAGGGGGTTATGGGAACACTGATATACAGCTAGCAGATCAGAAGCACAGGTAAGACAGACTGCGGCTTATGATTGGCATTGGAAGTGGGAAATAGTCTCAGGGGAATAAACTCTCAATGTGTGGGATCTGGCGTTAACTCCAGATAAAGAATTGAATTGAATTAAAGGACAATCAGCTAGTGTCTGGTGCAGACTCTGGAGAACTGACTGATGGCTGTCAGTGGAGAGAAAACAGAGATCACAGAAGCATTTTGTGTTGTGCAAGTTTAGGAGAAACTGAGTTTGTTTTTCCTGTGTCTTACAGACAAGGTTACATGAATTATATAAGATGAAGTGAAAGAACTATAACATATACACTTGTAACTGATTTTAATTTTAATTAGATAAACAGAAATTAAGACTAAAATATCAGTTGGAAAGTAAAATATTGTAAAAGTAAAATATTTATGAAGTAAAAATTATCAAAGTAAATATTATTTACATCATATATCATTATATAACATCAAAGTAAAATAACATCTTGTTATTGGCAAAATATGAAAATCTATACATAGCTGTGAAAAAGGTCATTTCCCACACTGTTGTAGAAATAGAAATTGATATACATTTTGGAGATTAATTTTGTGTTAATCATACATATTAGATGGCTCCTTTAATTATATTTCTAGAAACTTATTATTTTCTATAGAAACATACAATACAGTCATATACTTATGAAATTATCCACTTTAATATTTCTTTTAATAACAAAAAATTGAAAGAAGTTAGATGCACACTGATATATAAATGTTAAGTTGGAGTTCATCTGTGGTATAAAACTCTATGTAGCCATTAAAGAAACTAAAATACCTATACTGATTAGAAATGATACTCAGCATATTAATTGAGAAAAGCAGAATAAAACAATTAAAACTAAAATATTTTAATATATAGACAGATAATTAGATTCACATATCTATATTTTTTAAGGACAGGAAAAAATAAAATAAACTGAATTATTAACAGAGGTTACTTAGGGGGATATTATGTTTTTGTTTTTATTACAGTGAATATATATTACTTTAATAATAAAAAAGTTAAAAATAGCTGAGCAGGGTGGCACATGCCTGTCATCCAGGATACTTTGGAGGCTGAGGCAGGAGGATTCCAAGTTTGATGCCAGCCATGGCAATTTAGCAAGACTGTCTTTAAATGAAAAATAAAAAGGGACTGGGATGGGGCTGGGGTTGTAGCTCAGTGGCAGAGCGCTTGCCTCGCATGCATAAGGCCCTGCGTTTGATCCTCAGCACCACATTAAAAAATAAACAAAAATAAAGATATTGTGTCCATCTACAACTAATATATATATATATATATATATTTTTTTTTTTTAAAAAGTGACTGGGATGTAGTTCAGTGGTAGAGCACTTTACCTGGCATGCATAAGTCCCTGGGTTCGGTCCCCAGCAACACACACACACACACACACAAATAAAATAAATAAATAAAAATATGTAAGACTGAGGTTATTTAGGGGAGCAAGATTAACTCCACTATGTGTGTGTATGTGTGTGGGGTATGTTCCAGAATGTTCCCAAGAAATGTGAACAGCACTGGGCGTAAACAAGAGAACTGGAAAAAGAAGAAAGGTATGAAGGCATGGAAAATGATAATATACTTCTTTACTCATTAAAATTTTTTTGTATGTTTTTGTGGCACTGCGCATAGAGCCTAGGGCTTTGTGCATGCTAGGCAAGCACTCTACCACAGAGCTACATCTCCACCCCTGTAGTCATTTAGATTTTAACATCTATCATGGATGAGCTATGTGTGGGAAAAAATTCAAGGAGGTACACAAAAGCAGGATGTGAAAGGCAAGTTAATTTAATATATCTGGATCTTTGATGTGTGTAGAGTGGAAAAGGTGCAGTAAGAAGGAAAGCAGGGACTGGGTTGTGATTCCTGGGATTTGAACACTGTCCTGCGGACAAGGAGGCTACTGGGGTTTCAGCAGGACAGTAATGTCAGCTATTTAGAAGATGGTTTGGAAAGAAGCAAATCTGCAAACTGTGAGGCCATTTAAGTGGTGGAATATAATGAAGATTGAAACAGGTAGCAAGGTGAATACAAAAGAAGATGGTTTTGAGAAATATTCAGAGTAAAAGATAGAAGACTTGGTGATGTCCGGATATAGGTGATGAATGAGAGAGATGTCTTGATGGACTTTCACATTTTTTACTTCCATAACTAGGTAGATGGAGATGACACTAGCTCATGAAGAAAAGACAGATGGAAAAAACAAGCTTAGGAAGATAAGGAAACACAGAAAGAGCCGGTCTGATGGTGATGGTGGGTGCTGTAGTATGGATTATTTCAGTTATGGATATGTTGAATTTGACATGTCTACAGGCCATTAACAGAAGTTGTCAATAGGCATTTAAGACCAATAAATTCTGTCAAAATTTAATGTTGAGTGAGTTGCATAACAGGCATAGTTCTTACTGTCCCAGACCTAAGAACCTAGTGGAGGTGCTACAATCTGGAGTTCAGGGGAAAGGTCTAGGCTAGCACTTGCAGCATACAGAAAAAGTGTAGGTGAGTCAGAGAGAATGAAGTTCTTAGTAGTGTTGCCGAAAGTTTGGTCCTTGTCCTTGATGCCAATCCAATAACAAGGACCCAGTTTTCAGAAAAAAGAAAAAGAAGGTTTATTGCTTTGCTAGCAGAGGAGAAACACAGGGGGATCCTGTCCCAAAGGTGTGATTCTGCTCATCAGCAGGAAAAGATGATTCAAAGGCTACCTTCCATTTTTTTTTCTTTGGAGTTGTAATTGGCTTTTTTAAAAAAAATATACCTTTATTTATTTATTTTTATGTAGTACTGAGGATCAAACCCAGCAGCTTGTTCATGCTAGGTGCTCTACCCCTGAGAGACAACCCTAGCCAATGTAATTGGTTTCTTAATTTGGGAGGTTGTCATTTCTCAGATCTCTGGTACCATCCCCAAAGTCTAGAATACTTTGTTCTGATGATGGGTATGTACTCAAGGACAGATAATCTTCTTAGGATGGGGAAGAAAGCTAATCCTGTTTCCCCTGAGATTAGGGACGGAGAGATTAGGTAGGAGCAGAGAGAGGAAGAGAAAGAAACATGTCCATTTAAAAAATAAATTGCAGGGTTAGGGTGGTGCACACCTGTAATCCCAGTGGCTCAGGAGGTTGAGAAAGGAGGATCGCAAGTTCAAAGCCAGTCTCTGCAATGGCGAGGTGCTAAGCAACTCAGTGAGACCCTGTCTTTAAATAAAAATACAAAATAGGACTGGTGATGAGGCTCAGTGGTTGGATGCCCCTGAGTTTAATAAAGGTAATAATAATAATAATAATAATGTTGCAGGGCTGGGGATATAGCTCAGTTGGTACAGTGCTTGCCTCACATGCACAGACCTGAGTTTGATCCCCAGTACCACACACACACACACACACACAAAGTTGCAGTGGCAGAGCAGCAAGGGCTATATTCAAAGCATAAAGTGGACTGCTATTATATTAGAATTTATATAGGTATCATTATTATGAGCTGTATGCTTAAACACATCATTTATTTGAACTTCAGAACAGTTCTATAAAATATAAGATGTTCCAAATAAGGAAAATGAAATGCAGAGAGATGGGCATAGCAGTCACCATCTGCCCTTTTGGCTAAATTTTAAGAATTGGTTTGCTGCATGGGTTCACACTATCCAGTGTGCTACTTTCCTTCATTTTGCAACATTGTATACCATATGTATACATGCTTCACTCATAACCTTCTGGCTTTCCTTAAGCAATGCACTTTGTACACTGTATGTTGCCTAAGTACTAGCACACTATAAGTAAACAAAGCCATTACAGCAGAAAGTGGAGCTTTACCACCAGAACCTGGAACCATTGGCTTTATGGAGTCTTAGATATTAGTTTGAGATAAACCAAATACATTCCTGCTTAGATAAAGTTACTTATGTACCAATCTTTCTTTCTGACCCAAATGACGGGTCTTGCTGCCACTTAAGATCATAGGTCCATCACTACATCCCTGATAAACTGTACTCAGTAAATCCTGGATTTGTCTCTTTCTCTCTCTTTTTTAATTTCAGGGAACTTTGGGGCTGGTTCTCATACACTTGGGACAGGGTTGTTCTTGAATACTCCAGAAGATGATTTGTATCAAAAT